TGTTGCTGATGTGATATAGTATGTCCATGTGTGTTGCTGATGTGAGATATTTTGCCATTGTGTTTTGACGATGGGATATATTTTGTCCTGTGTTTTGACGATGGGATATATTTTGTCCTGTGTTTTGACGATTGGATATATTTTGTCCTGTGTTTTAACGTTGGGATATATTTGTCCTGTGTGTTGACGTTGTGTTATGCTTTTTTTGTAAGTGCTAACGCTGTGATAGATGTTGTGGTACTCGTTTAACTTATCAAACCTGACCTACAAAAGACAGTAACACTAGGATTGATAATGCGATGATCAGTTCTTGCTGTTAATTAATTAGTATTTGTGTGTGGAATTTATGAACTGAGTCAATACGAAAAAAAATGATAACTATGGCTTCCTTGGTTACGGCAAACGTTGGGGGCTAGTAAATCCACCAGTCGAGTCTACCACCTTGTATCTTGGACAGTAGAGTCTACCACCTTGTAAGATGGACAGTCGAGTCTACCACATTGTATCTTGGACAGTAGAGCCTACCACATTGTATCTTGGACAGTAGAGTATACCACTTTGAACCTGGACAGTAGAGTCTACCACATTGTATCTTGGACAGTAGAGTCTACCACATTGTATCTTGGACAGTCGAGTCTACCACCTTGTATCTTGGACAGTCGAGTCTACCACATTGTATCTTGGACAGTAGAGTCTACCACCTTGTATCTTGGACAGTAGAGTCTACCACATTGTATCTTGGACAGTAGAGTCTACCACATTGTATCTTCAACAGTAGAGTCTACCACATTGTATCCTGGACAGTAGAGTCTACCACCCTGTTTCTTGGACAGTAGAGTCTACCACGTTGTATCTTGGACAGTAGAGTCTACCACCTTGTAAGATGAACGCAATACACAGAACGTGACAGCACCTATACAATTTGGTAATATATACAGTTTGACAAAAATGCCAACTTCACTGCAACTGTTTCGTCCTTCCAGGTCTTATCGGTGATGCTAGGGACCAAAATGATACATATAAACAATACCAAACAACATCTAAGTCTCAATTTATGAGTCCAACGTCAGTCAATGCCTTTACGTTCGACTTTCAATATCAATACGTTTTTAAATAAAGAAATTCATGGGAATGTTTTTCTAAATGGTGTGTGTTTTCACTATAGTCACTCAATACTGGACACATATAAAACAGTGCTGTTGGCCACGTGGTTACTTTAAATGACAAGATGATGGAAGTCTAAAGGGAATTGATAAAACTTTAATTACTATTTTTTCGTCAATACTCAATATTGCGATTTGTGTTTTAAAATGGTTTTTGAATTCTATAAATCTATAAGAATGTTCAATGATAATTTTGAAACTTTGTCTTTAATTTTTCTATTTCGACATGCAATCACCATACTACATTACACACGATATACGCTGTTTTACTCACGGAGTTCGTATCTTCGTAGAAGGTGGCGTAGTTGACATCAACGTAGATGGCGTTTGTCAGGCCGAACGTCATCAGCAACTGGAAATATAATCCTTAATACAAATTAAAGGTTCAAAGCTAAACGGTGAACCCGGGAATGCTATACATTTAATTCTAAACTAATTTTCTTATTTAACTGTCCTACTTTTTTCAATATTCTACATCATAATGTGCTGTTGATGATTTAGACACATGTAGGCTTATCTATATCTTATTCCATTTGATGATTTGTCAAATGTTTGCCCCACGTAATGAAGCTATTTTGGCCCAGAATCACCAAAGTACTTTATGGGCCGATAAAAATATCCAAGATCGCGATTTATGTTTTAGAAAAGGTAATGCACATTTTCCATCATCATTTAACACCTGTTTTAAAAAAAAAAAAAAACAGCATCCTGCAACAAACTGTGTTATGGTGAACTTCACTAGAAACTATTGACGCCAAACTTACCTGTAATAGCAGGAATAAAGAACAGGTAGCCCTCATGTTGTATCGGTAGTCTGCGGTAGTTCTAAGCTCAGTGCGTTATCTTACAGTATTAACTTTTGTTCTTTGTTTTTATTATTGATCATTTGACGTCATAGGTTGTCTGGTCAATCTTATTAAAAATATTCATGCACTTTGAAACTTGTGATAGCGACTAAATTCACCCACGTACTGTCGACATCTATAGGGCAGCGGAAACAGGGAAATCTATTTCACCGTGTAACACTAAGGACATAACAGGACAGTCGGTACGAGATTTTTTTTTTAAATCCGATAAGATATCGGTCAATGCTAGTAATACATTTCTGGCTGAAGTATTTATAAGACTTGACAAGAGAAAGTGTTAAAAATATTTTCATGTCAGTATGATGCTGTATATGTAGGTATGTTTTGTTTTATGAAAGTTAAGGTGAATTTAACTCGATAGCGAACCTCTCTAATCAACTAGTACTATGTACGCACATAAAAAAATCTAGTTATCTAAAAATATAATACATATATGATCTTACATGAGTTTCCATTTCATATGAGATTTATGAAAAGAGTCAAAGAATTTTTCAAAAATGAAAAAATTCGTGTCGTGTTTCATAAAGTTCATGTGAAATAAACGAGTGTAAGATGCTTTTTATCACATAATTAAACATTGTGGCTATTTATTCGTGTAAAACGACAATTTTTATGCAAAACTGAAAGGTAAAAGTCGCCATTTTGACTCCATTGCATAACTCTGTGACGTCATGCACTTGTCCTAGGCGTGACGTCGCAATTGGAACAATTGAAACTTACAACCAATCACAAGGATGATAGGTCATATTACAGGGGTTAATACGCAAACAAATATGACATGGGTATATTCGCTGGATAACACAGTACAGTATGTGATAAATAACAATATCTAGAACACTAAACTACACATCTAACAATATTTTAACAACACTTACGTCGTTTACAATAATCTTCTCAACCACAGATGACATATATAACAATATCATGTCATACCCAGGGACATGCCACACGCTATAAACCTGAAGATATTTAACTGGCGTCACATTATATAAACTACAAGATATATACCGTGACGCCCATTTATGTGTGACATGTTCATGTGTCATCTAAAACTACGCAACAAACGAACTCTAATCAAACAAAAGTACAGACAGAAGAACAGGTTATCAGCTAAAACTACATAACTGTCTCGAAAACGTAAAATTCAACCAACGAGTTGTTTTTATTTTGAACGTGCACATAACATCATGCTACTGAATATCAGTGTTTTGGTCATACACTTTGCCGGTATGTTTGGTTCGCGCCTACTTGAAATTCGGTGATTGTGAAGGATGAACACACACGGGTAATTACACCTTTAAAGTTTGATAATTTATATAGTATGATAAAATGCATTACATTTCATCCAACAGCTGTTCGTTCTTATAGGACTGATTAGTGAGGCTATGGGTCCAACAGTTGGAGATCTAACTTGGTCAAAACTACTGTTGAGAATGAAGGGTAGTTGCGTAAAAGCCATTAACTATGGAATTAGAAATTTTGGTGAGTAATGGTCAATTTCAAATAAAGAAAATAGTTTGTAAAATGTGAAAACTGTTTTTCAAGATTGATAGGAGTTACCTATTGAATATTCCTGGAAGAATAAGACTCCTTGCGAATGAACATATCTCTTGCAAAAATAAGGTGATCTATGTTATCCAAAAACAATGTTCCTGAATTTTGGTCACTACCTCACGTTTGTATAATGGAAAATCAATCAAGCGAAAGACAAAAACCTTATCAAGTCCAGGTTACTACAGAGAAGTTGTGTTACTAGATTTGTCGTTCCTAGAACAGTAAAGGGTAAACAAAATATCTCTTATTCAATAATCTACTGTTACTAAGCTAGTTTACAAATAATAAGTATGCATATATATATAAGATTTATATAATCTTTATTCTAACAGACAAGAGAATATGTCTGTTAAAGTTCATCTGCTTCAACAAAGCTAGTTTACAAATAACAAATATATATAAATACGATTAATGTAATTTTTATTCATACAAACTACAATATAGTAGATTAAATGATAAAGAGAATTTCGTTGACACACGTCATGTCTGAAACTAAATGAAAACATGAAATCAAGCATGTGATTAGACATGTCATAAAGCAAATGTCAATGATGCAACTTTACAACGTGTACTCCTTATTTAGATAGGATTGATATCAGACCCCAACTTTACAACGTGTACTCCTGATCTAAATGGGATTGATATCATACCACAGCTTTACAACGTGTACTCCTTATTTAGATTGGATTGATATCAGACCACAACATTACAACGTGTACTCCTTATTTAGATTGGATTGATATCAGACCACAACCTTACAACGTGTACTCCTTATTTACATGGGATTGTTATCAGACCACAACTTTACATCGTGTACTCCTTATTTAAATGGGATTGATATCAGACCACAACCTTACAACGTGTACTCCTTATTTACATGGGATTGTTATCAGACCACAACTTTACATCGTGTACTCCTTATTTAAATGGTATTGATATCAGACCACAACATTGCAACGTGTACTCCTTATTTAGATTGGATTGATATCAGACCACAACATTACAACGTGTACTCCTTATTTAAATGGTATTGATATCAGACCACAACATTGCAACGTGTACTCCTTATTTAGATGTGATTGATATCTGACCACAACTTTACAACGTGTCAGACCACAACTTTACAACGAGTACTCCTTATTTAAATGGGAATGATATCAGACCACAACTTTATAACGTGTACTCCTTATTTAAATAGGATTGATATCAGACCACAGCTTTACAACGTGTACTCCTTAGTTAGATAGGATTGATATCAGAATATAGTAGATTAAATGATAAAGAGAATTTCGTTGACACACGTCATGTCTGAAACTAAATGAAAACATGAAACCAAGCATGTGATTAGACCTGTCATAAAGCAAATGTCAATGATGCAACTTTACAACGTGTACTCCTTAGTTAGATAGGATTGATATCAGATCACAACTTTACAACGTGTACTCCGTATCTAAATGGGATTGATATCATACCACAGCTTTACAACGTGTACTCCTTATCTAAATGGGATTGATATCAGACTACAACTTTACAACGTGGCCACCTTATTTAGATGGGATTGATATTAGAACACAACTTTACAACTTGTGCTCCTTATTTAGATAGGATTGATATCAGCCCACAACTTTACAACGTGTACTCCTGATCTAAATGGGATTGATATCAGACCACAACTTACAACGTGTACCCCTTATTTAGATAGGATTGATATTCAGACCACAACTTTACAACGAGTACTCCTTATTTAAATGGGAGTGATATCAGACCACAACTTTACATCGTGTACTCCTTATTTAAATGGGAATGATATCAGACCACAACTTTACAAGGTGGCCACTTTATTTAGATGGGATTGATATTAGAACACAACTTTACAACTTGTGCTCCTTATTTAGATAGGATTGACATCAGACCACAACTTTACAACTTGTACTCCTTATTTAAATGGGGTTGATTTCAGACTACAACTTTACAACGTGGCCACTTTATTTAGATGGGTTTGATATTAGACCACAACTTTACAACTTGTGCTCCTTATTTAGATAGGATTGATATTGATATCAGACCACAACTTACAACGTGTACCCCTTATTTAGATAGGATTGATATCATGCCACAACTTTACAACGTGTACTCCTTAGTTAGATAGGATTGATATCAGACCCCAACTTTACAACGTGTACTCCATATTTAGATAGGATTGATATCAGCCCACAACTTTACAACGTGTACCCCTTATTTAGATAGGATTGATATCAGAATATAGTAGATTAAATGATAAAGAGAATTTCGTTTACACACGTCATGTCTGAAACTAAATGAAAACATGAAATCAAGCATGTGATTAGACATGTCATAAAGCAAATGTCAATGATGCAACTTTACAACGTTTACTCCTTATTTAGATAGGATTGAGATCAGACCACAACTTTACAACTTGTACTCCTTATTTAAATGGGAGTGATATCAGACCACAACTTTACAAGGTGGCCACTTTATTTAGATGGGATTGATATCAGATCACAACTTTACAACGTGTACTCTTTATTTAAATGGGATTGATATGAGACCACAACTTTACAACGTGACCACTTTATTTAGATGGGATTGATATCAGATCACAACTTTACAACGTGTACTCCTGATCTAAATGGGATTGATATCAGACCACAACCTTACAACGTGTACTCCTTATTTACATGGGATTGTTATCAGACCACAACTTTACATCGTGTACTCCTTATTTAAATGGGAATGATATCAGACCACAACTTTATAACGTGTACTCCTTATTTAAATAGGATTGATATCAGACCACAGCTTTACAACGTGTACTCCTTATTTAGAAAGGATTGATATCACACCACAACTTTACAACGTGTACTCTTTATTTAAATGGGATTGATATCAGTCCACAACTTTACAACGTGTACCCCTTATTTAGATAGGATTGATATTGATATCAGACCACAACTTTGCAACGTGTACTCCTTATCTAAATGGGATTGATATCATACCACAGCTTTACAACGTGTACTCCTTATTTAAATGGTATTGATATCAGACCACAACATTACAACGTGTACTCCTTATTTACATGGGATTGATTTCAGACCGCAACTTTACAACGTGTACTCCGTATCTAAATGGGATTGATATCATACCACAGCTTTACAACGTGTACTCCTTATTTAGATAGGATTGACATCAGACCACAACTTTACAACTTGTGCTCCTTATTTAGATAGGATTGACATCAGACCACAACTTTACAACGAGTACTCCTTATTTAAATGGGATTGATATGAGACCACAACTTTACAACGTGACCACTTTATTTAGATGGGATTGATATCAGACCACAACCTTACAACGTGTACTCCTTATTTACATGGGATTGATTTCAGACCGCAACTTTACAACGCGTACTCCTTATTTAGATAGGATTGATATCATGCCACAACTTTACAACGTGTACTCTTTATTTAAATGGGATTGATATCAGACCGCAACTTTACAACGTGTACTCCTGCTTTAGATAGGATTGATATCAGCCCACAACTTTACAACGTGTACTCCTTAGTTAGATAGGATTGATATCAGAATATAGTAGATTAAATGATAAAGAGAATTTCGTTTACACACGTCATGTCTGAAACTAAATGAAAACATGAAACCAAGCATGTGATTAGACCTGTCATAAAGCAAATGTCAATGATGCAACTTTACAACGTTTACTCCTTATTTAGATAGGATTGACATCAGACCACAACTTTACAACTTGTCTCCTTCTATGTACACTGGGTGCGTTATAGGGTTAGATAGGATTGATATCAGAATATAGTAGATTAAATGATAAAGAGAATTTCGTTTACACACGTCATGTCTGAAACTAAATGAAAACATGAAATCAAGCATGTGATTAGACATGTCATAAAGCAAATGTCAATGATGCAACTTTACAACGTGTACTCCTTAGTTAGATAGGATTGATATCAGATCACAACTTTACAACGTGTACTCTTTATTTAAATGGGATTGATATCAGTCCACAACTTTACAACGTGTACTCTTTATTTAAATGGGATTGATATGAGACCACAACTTTACAACGTGGCCACTTTATTTAGATGGGATTGATATCAGACCACAACCTTACAACGTGTACTCCTTATTTAGAGAGGATTGATATCAGACCACAACCTTACAACGTGTACTCCTTATTTAGATTGGATTGATATCAGACCACAACATTGCAACGTGTACTCCTTATTTAGATAGGTCAATGATGCAACTTTACAACGTGTACTCCTTATCTAAATGGGATTGATATCAGACCACAACTTTACAACGTGGCCACTTTATTTAGATGGGATTGATATTAGACCACAACTTTACAACTTGTGCTCCTTATTTAGATAGGATTGATATCAGATCACAACTTTACAACGTGTACTCCTTATTTAGATAGGATTGACATCAGACCACAACTTTACAACGGGATTGATATCAGACCACAACTTTACAACGTGTACTCCTTATTTAGATAGGATTGACATCAGACCACAACTTTACAACGGGATTGATATCAGACCACAACTTTACAACGTGTACTCCTTATTTAGATAGGATTGATATCAGACCACAACATTACAACCTTTACTCCTTATTTAGATTGGATTGATATCAGACCACAACTTTACAACGTGTACTCCTTATTTAGATTGGATTGATATCAGACCGCAACTTTACAACGTGTACTCCTTATTTAGATGGGATTGATATTTTTTAGATAGGATTGATATCAGACCACAACATTACAACGTGTACTCCTTTTTAGATAGGATTGATAACAGATCACAACATTACAGCGTGTACTCCTTTTATAGATAGGATTGATAACAGATCACAACATCACAACGTGTACTCCTTATTTAGATAGTATTGATATCAGACCACAACTTTACAAAGTGTACTCCTTATTTAGATTGGATTGATATCAGACCGCAACTTTACAACGTGTACTCCTTATTTAGATGGGATTGATATCATACCACAACTTTACAACGTGTACTCCTTATCTAGATGGGATTGATATCATACCACAACTTTACAACGTGTACTCCTTATTTAGATGGGATTGATATTATTTAGATAGGATTGATATCAGATCACAACTTTACAACGTGTACTCCTTTTTTAAATGGGATTGATATCAGACCACAACATTACAACGTGTACTCCTTTTTTAGATAGGATTGATAACAGATCAGAACATTACAACGTGTACTCCTTATTTAGATAGTATTGATATCAGACCACAACTTTACAAAGTGTACTCCTTATTTAGATTGGATTGATATCAGACCGCAACTTTACAACGTGTACTCCTTATTTAGATGGGATTGATATTATTTAGATAGGATTGATATCAGATCACAACATTACAACGTGTACTCCTTTTTTAGATAGGATTGATAACACATCACAACATTACAACGTGTACTCCTTATTTAAATGGGATTGATATCAGACCACAACATTACAACCTTTACTCCTTATTTAGATTGGATTGATATCAGACCGCAACTTTACAACGTGTACTCCTTATTTAGATTGGATTGATATCAGACCGCAACTTTACAACGTGTACTCCTTATTTAAATAGGATTGATATCAGACCACAACATTACAACCTTTACTCCTTATTTAGATTGGATTGATATCAGACCGCAACTTTACAACGTGTACTCCTTATTTAGAGAGGATTAATATCAGACCACAACTTTACAACGTGTACGCCTTATTTAGATAGGATTGACATCAGACCACAACATTACAACGTGTACTCCTTTTTTACATAGGATTGATAACAGATCACAACATTACAACGTGTCCTCCTTATTTAGATAGGATTGATATCAGATCACAACATTACAACGTGTACTCCTTATCCTTATTTAGATAGGATTGATATCAGATCACAACATTACAACGTGTACTCCTTTTTTAGATAGGATTGATAACAGATCAGAACATTACAACGTGTACTCCTTATTTAAATTGGATTGATATCAGACCACAACATTACAACGTGTACTCCTTATTTAGATAGGATTGACATCAGACCACAACATTACAACGTGTACTCCTTTTTTACATAGGATTGATAACAGATCACAACATTACAGCGTGTACTCCTTATTTAGATAGGATTTATATCAGACCACAACATTACAACGTGTACTCCTTATTTAAATTGGATTGATATCAGACCACAACATTACAACCTTTACTCCTTATTTAGATTGGAT